GGTACCCAGTGGCACCAGGGGCTGCATCCCTGCCTGGATGTTGCAAGCCTAGTGAGGACAGAGCAGAAGAAATTAGAATCTCACCCAGACACAGCTCTATATTGCAAACCCACATGACAGCAGCCAAACCCCATAGCTATGCCAGAGCCCCAGCTGTTCCACACCCACCTTGCAGCATCCCTCTCACTCCCCACTCATCTCCAGTGCTGGCTCCATCACAGGGCAGCCTGGACGAGCTCTGCACCAGTAAAAAGGTAGAAAAGAGGTTCCTGAGACACCATTGAAGAAAGGACATGCTCCATCTCCCTGGCTGGAGACACCTTCGAGGGGACCATGACCTGAGCAGGGTCTGCCAGGAGATGCAGGAGAGGAGATGCATGGGTGCTCTGCACTGCTTCTTTCAGATGCTGGTAGGAGCAGAGACCCTCAGGGTGGGTTTCAGCTGAAGAGCCCCTTTGCCTTCTTCAGCTTGGCCTTTGCCACAGGCAGCCGGGGCTTCTGAGCGGGGGAGGAGGCTGGCTGGAAGCAAAGGGGATGCAGCGTCAGTTCCTCAAGGGGGTCATGCAGGATGGGGTTGTGTGTGTGCAGGCAGTGACACTCTATGTCCATGGGGGAGTGCAAACTACACACACGTGTGCACCCACATGCTCCCCAACCAGGGTGCATAGGGTAGGATGGGCTAGGAACCAAGCTGAGACCCCCAGCCCATCCCAGAGGGGTACGGGGCTGGGATGCGGGGAGGGAAGGGAGATGTGGGCCCCATCCTGCCATTGGCGTGTAGAGGCTGTTTATAGAGCTGCACTCACCGTGGTTCCTGCACTGGAAGATGCTGTTTCATCCTCCTGGGACAGAGTTGGTGGTTGGGGGTGCTCTGTGTTTTCTGCAGTGGGTGCCGGGCCCTCAGCATCCTCTGGTACCAGCAGCAAAAGATGCAATTTGGGATTGAGATGAGGGAGATCAGAGCATGGCCCAAACCCTCACCAGAAATCTGGTGCCTGGGTGGGAGACCTCAGCCTCACGTGGGGTAAGCAAAGGGGAAGACTATTGTACAGGGTGAGCTGCACCCAGGACCCCGCTCCCCCTCCCCTGGGATGGGGACTCAGCCACGGGGTGAGGGTCAGGTTCTTCATGTGCTCCCCATCCCACAGCCACGGAGCTCCTCACCTGAGTGCTGCCGTTTCCGAGCCTGCTTGGTTTCCTGCTGCGCCACCACTGTGTAGAGCTGCTGCAGAGTGGAGGCGAACACCTGCCCTTCTCCTGCACTGCAGATCTGGAGCAGGGTCTGCAGGAGAGAGCGGAGGCACCGTCACCCTGCCAGGCCACCACCTGCCAGGAGCCGGTTCCTGCCCAGGACACTGCCACGGTGCTGCAGCGGGAGCCGGCATACCTCTGCTCCCCAGCCATGCACACACATGCACACCCACACACGCGTGTGCACACACCCACACACCTGCTAGGGCTGCTGTCCCATTCAGGAACAGACTGTGGAGGCTTGCGAGTCATTCATGAAATGGCAGAGATAAGATCGCACGGGAAGGGCTGTGGCTTCCTCGGCAGAAGCCACGCAAGGACCGTGGTTCTGATAACCACAGTGAGCCTTAGGCAGGGGCAGGAGCTTGGCATGAGGTGGGGACAGGAGCCCCTGCCTGCCACCACTGCTTCCAGCCATGTCTGTGTGGGCACAAGCCATTCCTGGTGGCCCAATGGCAAGTGAAAGCAATGTGGTGGTGAGATGAGGAATGTCCAGGTTCGCTTTCCAGGGCAGCTTCTGCCTTCCTGCGCACATTTTTGTCTTCATCCAAGCTTGTTGCAGGAAACCACCCCTTCCCTTGCCCACAACACCTGCCAGGGCTGTAGGATGCCACCCTTGCCCTCTGGGCCATGTCGATGTGCATGGGGGACTTTGGCTCTGGTGACGGGGAGGTTGGCAGTCTGGGCAACGCCACACTCCGCTGGGAACCTAACGCAGCAGACGGACAGCAAACAAACATGTGCAGGGATGAGAAATGCATGGATGCCCTGGAGGTGGTGGTCATGCAGGGGCAAGGGGGCATGGTATGGGTGCAGGTGGAGGTGAGCATGAGTGTATGCACGGGGGGCTATGGGCTTAGCTGCGTGTAGATGAGCATGGCTCTGGGTGCATGTGGCTGGTTGTGTGTGTGTCTGTGTGTCCGTGTGTGTATGTGTCTGTGTGTCCGTGTGTGTACATGTCTGTGTGTCTGTGTGGGTGTGTGTGCGTGTGCACATGTGTGAAAGGTCTGCGCGCTGATGTCTGCTCTGCTCCACTCCCAGACAGTAGGAGAACAAAGTGTAACAGATAAGGCTGGATCCTCTCTGAGCCAGGGGAGCGGGGAGGGGATGGAGATGCTCAAACCCACTCAAGGTCAGAGTCCAAAGCCTGGTCCCAGCTTCCCAGTGGCAGAAAGGGCAGGCTGAGGCCCCTGTGCTGCTCCCTGCCGGACGAGGAAGGAGGCCAGGGCTGATGCCAGGATGGGTTGGCTGGTGCTCAGAAAGGCACCTTCCCTGCAGCTCTCATCCCTCCTGCTGGAGCCACGGGCATGAAAGGCTACTTAGCTGTAGGACATGCATACCACTGGGGTCTGCTTTTTGGCCGGTTTCTCTGCAGGACCTCCTGTGTCCCCTGCCCATTGCCACAGGAGGGAGAGATGCTCTGGTCCCAGTGCCCTGTCAGCATTGCTTGCCACTGGGCAAACACCTCTCAATGCCTCTCAGCAGTGAGCTAATGCTGCCTCATCACAAGGTCCCAGGGAGGAGGAGGAGGAGGAGGAGAAGGAGGAGGAGGAGGAGGAGGAGGAGGGATGCTGAGCACCTCGGACACCCAGGGGATGCTCTTGCCCAGGATGTCTCAGCCCCGCGGGGCCAGGGTCGCACTCAAGGTTGCAAAAGCAGCATCCGAGGCTGGGAAGATGACTGTACTTCAAAGGCAGGAGAGGGGCTGGCAATGGGTGTCCGACACAGCCCAGATCAAAGGCACAAGCTGGAGCCATATTTCAGAGAAAAGCAAACAGCAGCTCCCAGGAAAGCGGGGACCGGTGGCGGAGTGAGCAAAGTGTACCAGATAGCACTGCACGGGTCAATGCTCTGGGAGGGCGGGAGAGTCCCCTGCAGAGCCACCCAGACCTGGGTGCCACGACCCTGCTGCACAACCCCTCTTCCTACCACTGGTGGATCCCCACCAAAAGAGTCTAAGGCAAGGCAGTTGCTCTCTTAATGCTCAGGGCCAACTGCCCAAAGCTGGCAGTGTCCCTGTGGTGTCCCTGGGACAGGGCAATGCTGTGGAGTGCCCACTGAGCTTGCAGCCTTCCAGTGTCCCTGAGACCAGCACTTGCTGGGGTGGCACCTTGCGAAGGTGCTGGGATAAGGATGTCCAGTGCCACCAGTCCTCTGGGGAGAGAGGGGCAACTGGGATAACACAGGGGTCTGCAGGTGCAGGGCACTCACTGCCCATGCCTGGGAAGGGCCCAGCTCTGGCAAGCCTGGGGTCATTTAAGAGTCACCAGCTGCCTCCTACCACTGCCCTTCCTGGCTACTTGAGCCCATGGGCTCACAGCCATCGGGCCATCAGAGCTGGCCCGCACTGGGATGGGAGGGTCACGCTTCACAGGGAAATGGGTTCATAACCAGAGCTGCGAGCATTTCCCTGCAGAGCCGTGACTCAGCAGGGAGCAGAGCATGCTGTGCCAGCCACCGGCCACCTGATGGCCCCGGAGCCTGAGAGGGACAAGGAGGTGTCCCCAGAAGGGGCTGGGTGGGGGCCAAGCCCTGGGTACCAGTGACTTTGCCCTCCCTGCTTGCCCCACTGCCCCAGCACATCCCCAAGCTGAACCCCATCGCAGCCACCTTGTCCCCACCAGGACGTCAGCCCTGACCTCCAGTGACTTGTTTTTCTCTGATTATCCATCTCTGGGACAAACATGACGCCCAAGGTCTGGGGAGCGGCAGGAGCAGAGCTGGCACCTGGGGGAGTGCCGGCTGGGTTGCCCCACACAGCTCGCTGGGCACCGGGGAGCAATGCCTGGGGAGCTGGCATGGCTCGCCTCGCATGTTGTGACTACCTGGCCACAAGGCCAAGTGGGATGGCTTGGTATCAGGAGAGACTCAAGGCTATGGCAGCGGCACAGGAGGCTCAGCAGCACACCCTGAACTGCGATTAGCCCAGCCGGGGAGGCTGCCTGGCAAAGGGGGGCAGGCGCCTGACCTTGTGTCAGGAGCAAGTCGTCAGCTCCACAGTGGTGGGGGCAGCTCACGGGGAGCTGGACTGCAGCCCCCCATCCCAAAGGGCTCTGCTGTGGAGCTGTACTCAGCGTGGAGGGGCGGCAGGGCCAGTGGTGGGCAGAGTACAGTACCCATCTCCCAGACATGCTGTCTTCGCCCACCACTGCCCAGACTCCCTTCACAAGAGGCCATAAGAGATGGCGATTTGGATGTTCTCCTGGCACTGTGAGCAGAAGGGGCATGTCACCCAGCCAGGCACTGTGCCACCGATGCAGAAGCATCACCTTCCCCTGGCCTGAACCCAGTGGGGGTGGGTTGCAGGAGGCTGGACTGTGCTGGGCCCCCACACCAGTGCCAAGCACCAGAGTCTAAATCGGTCGTGCTCAAAGCTGGGGACCGACCCTTTCATTATCACACCAGACGTTCGAAGTGGTTACCAACATTCTTCGCTACCAACCCCACATTCCTATTTTTTAATATATTTTTAACTGGAAAACAGAGCGAACAGGGCCTGTTTGGAAATTACAGCCTGGCTGCTGTGGCTTTTTTGTCAGATCTGCCCACATTCCCGTGGTCAGCCTCAGCACATGCTCCACAGGGGCACACTTAATAATTCCTGCCGGGGCCGGGAGGCAAGGGGTGTGGGCCGGGGGGGAGCATGGCTTCCCCAGGCTCAAAACCACAGAAGCGGCGTGGTGGAGTGGCAGCCTGGGATCAGTGTCCTGGCTTTTTGGCAATGGGCATGGCTGCTGTCGCACTGGCACAGGAGAAACTTGGCAATGCTGTGGCAGCCCGTGGTGGGAAGGGGAAGGGCTCCATGGACGGGGTGTTCCCATGCATCGTGGCCAGGCTGCCCTTGGCTCTCTCCCCTGCCACCACTTTTGTGCATGCTCCTGGGAATGGGGCTGGCATGGCTCGCTGGACGTGCACTGGGCATCTCTGCCTGTGGTCCTCCCAGCATCAGTCAGGCCAGGGGAGGGATCCACCCTGCGACCCAGGTGGATGAGGACCCATCTGTGGTAGCTGCTCACCCAGCCTCTGCCCATAGTGCGTGGCCAAGGGATCCCACCAGGTTTTGCCTGCGGGAAGACAGAGGG